AAAAGATCGTTAACTTTTTTTTCTACTTATATGGATTCTATTCAGAAAACTTCAGAAGAAACGTCGTTTAACAAGGTTTACGCATTGCTATAAAAGCGCAAATGGTGTAGGTAAGCAGTGTATTCAATCATTCCTCTCATCATTGTCTATTATCGTGATCTTTAATGCTTTCATTTCACTCCATACAATAGTTAGACTATGAACCTAGACAACAGATTATCGTTTATTTTTTATTACTCATGTTCAAACATACAATATTGTGAGTTTGCGCTCAAGCTGCTCAATTTAAAAAGGATTTTAGATAATTATCATTGCCTACTCGGCCAGAGTGGAGGAGATTGTATAATGGGAAATAATCTCATGTTGCTTGCGAAGTACTAAAAAATACATGTGTGTATGATGTATGTCTAAATATCTCAAAACTTGATTGAAAAGCTTATGTGACTAAAATGATCTGAATAAAATTTACAGCTGACTTAGCCATAGCCACAACTTATTTCATTTAGCAGCACTATAACAAAAGGGTAAAAAGCTATTCTTTCAAAAAAGTCCTATATTGACAAGAGGACAACATATGGAATTAGCACTCTGCTAAGGAGTTTAGACCAATGAATGCGACTCAAAACGCCAACTTCAAAACTGTTTTTCTTCTTAAAGCGGAGCTTTCATCTGACACAAAAACTATTCGATCTGTAAAATATATTCAGAAATTTAATTTTGCCTTAGGTAGAGATGTACTAACTCAATCTTCAAAATACCACACAAATATATGAATAAAGGATAAACATACCAGTAAGAGATTCTGTATGCGTCCACAATCAACATGCCGCTTTTGTGTACCATCTTCAACTGATTCATCCCAGATTCAGCTATCGATGTTTTAAATTTTTTGGAATCTAGTTTGTTTTTAAAGGGTTTTACTCCATAAGTCTCTCAGTTGCGCGAATTTATCGCGGTATCAATGGGACGCAATTGCGTCATGTCAACTGTTTGTGGACACATACGGGATCTCATATTAGTAGTAATTTCTAACACAAACTTTTAACTGTTGTTCTAGGCCAAACTTATTGTTTAGAGCACTACTAATTGTTCAAGGTACTTCGAGCAAGAAAAACGCCCATTATTCCTAAAATACTCTTAAAACATGCGCAACATGTAATAGATAATGTGGGCAGAGTTGAAAATGGCGTTTTGAGGATTCATGGTAAATAAAAATTAGCAGAAAATGACACTTATATGTGTTCCTTGTAAGCTGAGACTGCACGTTTATCGCTCTAGATTAAAGGTTACTTGAAAACTCTATCATAATCTCGCTAATGATCCACATGTTATAGATTCCATCATGACACCACGTTGGGCAGCTTTACTTCTAGGTAGGTGAATAAAATTTAACTTTTTTTTTCTGCAAAAACTTAATAGTTTTTCTTTTTTAGCCTGCTTGCCAACTGTGCTATGCATGTGAGT